AAGAAAATTACAAATTTTTTTTTTTAATTAAGATGGCTCAAAAACTATGGATTAGAACAAGGCTTCGCAATTACAATTACTCACAGCGAAAAGGATAAAAAGGATGGACTGCCCCAGCGGCGTATTTACACATGTACAAGAGGCCGAAAATATACGCCAAGAAAGGAAGCACACACGAAAGAGAGCCGTAATGCAGAACATAATACTGGTAACTGCCAATTTCGTGTTAATACCTACTGCCAGAAGAACGACAATCTGGTTTATATCACAAAAGTTGAAAACCAGCATAATCACAAACTTGTTGAAACCATCGCCGCTCTCGCGTCCAGTTATCAAAAGTTCACTCCAGAAATGCAAGAGGATATTAGATTACTTGCAACATGTGGTGTGCGCTCCGGTGCAATTATTGAAGTGCTGCGACATAAAAATCTGGGAAAGTATATCCACGATCGTGACATTTATAATTTGATTAATTCCATTCGCCACGAAAAAAATCAAGTAAAAGTGATGCTGGCTCAATATACCTTAATCTAATAAAACAACAGCAGGAAAATCCATCGTTCTACGTCGATGCACAGTTTGAAGGCCAAGAAAATCGTCTTGTATGGCTTTGCTGGATGCGCCCGAGTCAACAAGAATTGTGGACACGTTTTCACGATATTGTCCTTCTCGACACAACCACAAAAACCAACCGTCATTCAATGATCTTGTGTGTTGTGATTATAGTGGATAATCACGATCGTTCCCGCCTTGCAGCAACAGCCATTTTGTCAGATGAAACTAAAGATAGTTTTGCATGGTTGTTCCAAAGCCTTCTTGATGCAACAGGTGGATTAATGCCACGCCTTCTTTATACGGACACCGATCCCGCGATGATTGCTTCGGTAAATAATTCCTGGCCAACAACAAAACACCACTTTTGTATATTTCATATTCGGAAGAATCTTGAAAAGCATTTTATGGGAAAATACCATGGCGAAAAGTGGAAAAAATTTTTTGCAGCATTTTGCCGTGCACGAAATAGT